TACAAATTGCCTTGGAATGTCTAGCTCAGGCAACAAGAAGCATATTCTAGAAACAGAATGATTTTACCTTAACATGTACACAGGTCTTAGACCAATTTTTTTTTATTTGTATGTGTGTGTGTGTGTGTGTGTGTGTGTGTGTGTGTGTGTGTTAGGGACAGAGAGAGCCCAAGGCCTTGCACATGCTAGAAAAGTGCTCTACTACTGAGCTACACCCCCAGCCTTGCTACAGTATCTTAAGATGATGAAGTATGTTTGGGAGGATCCCCCAATCTCCCCTTGTTCTCTAGCATTGGTGAAGTTCCTGGTCCTTTGGATTTATAAACTTCCATGTTAAAACACGGAATTGCTGTTCTAGTTTTATTGTAAAAGATATTGTGTTGTTATAGTCAGCAATTTGAATAAAAACCTGACTCAAGATGAGCTGACTCATATGTACTCTTGCTGTCATTTATTGAAATCCTGAGCTGTTTGTTCCTTTCATTTCCTTTATTTGATATTACAAGGCTCTGAACCTTATCCTATCTTGTCCTAATGTTAAGCAGAACTTTTTCAGTATTCTTCTTTTATTTAGCCTATACCTAGCCTCCAGTCAGAATTTCTATTGAAGAGGACTCATACACCTTGTCATTGTTATTTGAAAAAGATACAAATGATCAGTTTGAGTTTAGTATCAATTTCATTGGCAAAAAATCTATCAAGAATTTGACTACTTGGACATTTTGTATTAGTTATGTATTTTTAAGATCCTCATTGTCTTATCTCACCAATCTGATATTTAACTAAATATGTGCTTCATGCAGAACAGATGGCTAATATATGATTTATGTTAAGTAAAGAAATCACATAAACATCATGACTCTGAAAACGGTTCTTGTATGGGTTATGTTGCCATAGAACACTCTTATTTTTTCCAACTCTTTTTATCTCTCCCTTAGGCTACCGAGGACAAAAGGGAGAAAGAGGTGAACCTGGAATTGGATTGCCAGGTATTCCTGGGACTTCAGGTAATAGTGATGCTATCTCCCTAACACATGATCCATGTTGTCTGTAGGAAAAGAGAATGGATAGTATGTGTTCTGCATTCTAATGGGATCCTTTTTTTCATTAGCTATGGGTTTGCCAGGCTCACCGGGTACTCCAGGGCCCCAGGGCCCCCCAGGACCCAGTGGAAGATGTAACCCAGAAGATTGCCTCCATCCTGTGTCTCATGCCCATCAGCGGGCAGGTGGGAAATGAGCACACCTGAGGAAGACTTGGTTCCTGAGGATACCTTCCGCCTTTGGAGCTATCTTATTTCTGTCAAACTCTCACAGTTTGTGGGCTGCTTTTTTTTTTTTCTTTTTAAAATTTTACTGTAAGTCAGACATTAAATGCAAAAGTTTGAATCCTGTTCCTACAATAATTGCAAATTAGTATTTCAGATTTTCCTCAAATTCATTCCATATGTTTTGCCTCATCAATACTATGATTTGTATTCAGTTTTATATGAAACATGCAAGCAAATCTTGTTGTTAGTACTTCAAAAAAACATCATATGATTTGGTAGACGGATGATGTTGTACATTTTGTAGACTTGTCATCATGTAATTGACCTCTGATCTCTGAATTCTAAAGTTTCAGACTTGACGTTTTCTTAGCAATGGAATTTAGTGTCATTGCTAAAAATTTTGTTCACTTTCTTGTGTATTGCTCCTATTAACCTTTTTTGATTACTTTTACAAGAATTCTTATGCCATCCTACATCCATCCTACTTTTGCAGAAAAATATTTAGGCAATAAGAGCTTCACTTTATAACTATGCTTTGGAAAAATTAAAGGAGACTGTTTTAATCAGGGAGCCCCAAAACTCACCATCACCAACAGCTAAAGTAATTTTTTTGATTCTCTATATAATGAATTTTATTCAAAGCAATCACTACTGGCATGAATACATACTGCATGGGGAAAAAAAAGGAACAAAGTGACAATTGTTTAAGAGTCCCACGAAAAAAGCCTAGCACTCTGTGTTCCCTTCACTGAGTTTCTCATTTAATGAAGAGAAGAAAGCTCTTTTCCCTAAGAGGTGTTTGGTGGTGAAGGCACCAAGGCATCTTTGGTACTCGTGAAGTTTAAATGGCCTCGCTTTGGGCCCCTGTACCTGTTATCCTTCTGACCTCATGACCCTCAGACTTTAAGACAAGAACTGGCCACCAAACCAAGGACAGATTTGTAGCAACCGAAGAAGAAACCGACTTGCCCTAGCTGATGAATGTGTGGTGTCAACAAACGCATATTGAGAAGGTGCAGCCCAAAAGCTCCTAAGGAAAATAATGTTTCTCCAGAAGCTTCGGCATGGCAAAGGAAAGCCATGGGACCACACATGCAACTGGCACTCAGATGAAAGAGCTAACACTCTCCCCAAAACCACATCCTCTGAGAGGAAACAAAGACACAGTGATTGTCAACTGTTTACTACATGGTATTTTTATTGCCTATCTATACACTATTCTGAGAAACTTGTGGTTGAAAACAACAAATTTTATAGAGTAGTAGACATGAGAGTATTGCTGAACTTAGCTGGTGGATCCCACAGATGCTGAGAACACACCACCAGAGCCCTCCTGTCACAGAAATCAGGAGTTCACACCTCTTCAAGGAGCAATGCAGATTCTAATTGGACATGATTACTTTTGTCTGTTAGTGGAAAAATGAGTTTAGAAAAGCAAGCCCACTGAAATTAGAGATAGCTGTGAACAGAGTTGTGCCTGAGGAGCATGCCTAAATTAAGGCAGAGTTTATTTAAATGCACCCATGATTTGAACTGGTTTTCATTATCGACGAATGAACTGCTGGTCAGGTACTGTCTACATGGCTGTGCATACATACAACCTTTTAGTTATTTCATGTTGAATTGTGCTCTATATTTTAATTCCAATTTATTTATTTTCCAAGGTTATCTTGTTTTTAACTTTAAATTGACTTTCTTTTTATTTTGTTTCTTGTGCAATACCTACAATGGTGCTGTGGTTTAAACTTATACAATTGGAATATGCATATGCATTTTACATATGTATTGCATTACTAAAATAATAATTTATCCCAAAAAGTGTATATAGATTTAAAATTTGGTGCTATCTGTATATTTTGAGATTTTAATTTGTTGAATTTTATGAACATTACAACTTATCCGACATATTAATTTACTTGAATTTGTCATAAAGCCAAACGTTTTATATGTTTTCAAAGAGTATTTTTGCATATTAATAGGTAATTTATCCTTTTGCCTCTTGGCTAATTCAAAAATATTTATTTTATCATTTCAATGTTTTCTTGGACTGTTTTGCCGATGGGTGATCAATGTATTTTGTTTTCTTTAGTCAATCCTTTGTATACATAAAAGATGCAATTCATTTTCTTGTTTTATAAATTCTCATAACTTTAGTGCTACAGAATAAGCCATGCATCCTTTCTTATGAATTGTATAGTTAGGAATCTTTTTCTAAATTGCACAAATGCTTGACTGGTTTATTCCTGTTTCAAGGATTTGGATTTCTTTAGGTAATTTGAATAGGAGAGGAGACAAAATACAACGTTATATGATGCATACTACAAAGTGGAGCTGTCACAGTGGCTCATTTTTTCTACATGGAATATTTGACTAAGTTTGACATAACTGTGGAAACAGGACTGTGTTCACATGGTACGAGCCTCTCACCCTGTTGTTATTTATCTTCAAATACTATTTCCTGCCTCCACTTTATTCACCTGATGTGCAAAAAAAAGGGGGAAAGCATAAAAACACTGGGTGCAGCTCAGTGAACACAACACTAGATGAAGTAACCATCTGGCAGATGCCCAGTTCCCTTCAAACAAAGTAGATACTTTGGGCCCCAAGTAGGGGTGGGGGGGGATTCTCCTCTGAATAACTTGATGGCTGCCATTTCTCTTGAACTATTTTTGTCCAAAACATTTACTTACTTGCACATAGATGTTAAGGATGGCCACAACAGGGATAAAGAATTATTAAATTGCTATCATATTTGATCAAAATCTTTCTGTGTAAAGAATAAATTTTGATTTCAATTAGTATTTATGGCCTTCAGAATGGAAAGAAAAAAGGAAAAGTAACTAATGCCTTTGTTCATTGTTCTTCTCAACTGAGGACAGTATTAGTTCTAACCATAGCAGATACACAGTCAGTCAACTTTTTTTAACTCCTCACCTTGATGGAAGTAATTGAGTGAATAACCTCAGGTGCTTATTTCTGTATTTCATGACATTGTTCAGAATTTTACATTTTAGTCACTTACAGAGCTTAAGTAATTATTTTAGAATACATTGTCTGTAAAATTTGGCATTTGATATTTGGTTTATTATTTCTTGTGAGTATGTTTAGGTATCAATGAGGCTTAGCTTTTCTGCAGTCTCCCTCACTTACTGGGAACCTGTGACATACCTCCTTTTGTTCACAAGATGGTGTTTAAGGCTATTCATTCAAAACTAAGCAAGCTCAGATGTACAGGCAAAGAATATTTTAATGGTCAACAAAATCAGATTTTTGCTCTTGCGCTTTTTTAAAAAAGACTTTTGTAAATAATGTCTTGTTAATTTAAGTTTTGTTTTGTTAATTTATGCTTTTCCTAATTTAAGTATCTTTATGAAGCAGGCACAGCAGCCTTTGGTTTTCTGTTTCAGTTTTATTTCTTCAGGGTATATACACATAAATATGTACCTATATACCCAGTTAAAGTGCAAGTTTACTTCTGTAACTTCATTTGTATACTACCCTCCTGTTTTAGTGATTAACATGAAGACACCTAAGTAGTCATTCTGCCTTTTAGACAGGAAAGATACTCACTGTTGACAGACAAGTAAAAGGCATTTAGCGTACCACAAGTAGACAATTTATAAATTTATCACACGTCTAAACTCCATCTTGAAGATACTTAAGTTTTTGCAGTTATATTTGTATAATCTTGCATTTTTCTAGAAATATATCACTATTTATCAATATAAGCTTGAAGCATTATTTTTCCAAATACCACTTTTTTTCTAACATTAGTAATAATATTCTAAGACCCAGAATTCTGAGGTTAAGTGATACACCGAAGTTGTTTCCATGAATCCTCAGAATAGTTTTGCAGATTTGTTCCTTGCTTGTTCTGAAATATTTTTCACACTTGTCTGTACCCACTTAAGACACAGTGCTTCCTGACATGATTCCCCATGTTGTTTCTTAATACATGAGGGTGTTACCTGGTGTAGAGGTACACACTCTACTTTCATACCTCTCATCTCACAATGATTACCTAGGCTTCTAAGAGAAGATGCAGTAAAGAATTTAACCAGTATCTTTTATGCCTATTTACTTCAAAATGGCCTAGCTCATTGAATTGTATTCATATATTAGTTGGCAGGCAAAAGTAGTATTAATTACATTAAATGTGTTCAATTACTAGGAGTCTCAGGAAATAGAATAATTATTTTCATTTTTATTTTCAGATGTAGCTGGAGCTATAATCTGAACATTTCATTCAAAATAGCATGTCAGAGTTAACTGGTCATTTTTAAAAAATTGAATGAAGCACCATGTGAACACAGAGAAAATACATTCAGACAAGTAGGCACAGCACAGAAAAAAAACTCTAACTGAAAAACACTTATAAGACCAAAGCTAACTCTAAGAAAGTCAAAATGGTAGAAAATTTCAAGTTTAGATCCAATAGTGATTTGTGAATGCTGCATCTTAAGGAATTAGCTACTTGTTTCATGATGTGTGTCAGAGTGAATACTGATGAAATAGGAAGTCTCGCTAAACTTGGGAGGTAGTTGTAGAAGATTTCACAGAAGTGTGTGTGTTGCTTCACCATAATAAGCTGTAACGATGTAGCTATTTTACATTTTATTTTGCTGTATTCTTTAAAGTATACTTTATGGATAAATATCTTAGCATTTTAATGTATTTAAATCCAGATTGTATTATGGAATATTTTATAACTATTTATTTTCAAAATAGCATTTGGGACATATTTTTCTCCATTTAGTTGGTTCTCTCTCTTACCTCATCCAAGTATATAAGGTTTAATTCATTATGCTCATGTTAAGTTGAATGGCACCAGTTTCATTTTAAATCCCAAGTGGATATAATGCTTTGAGGCCTTGATTCCTATATCTTCATTATGCATAATGAGCTTGTTGTCTATCTCAGCAATAAAGGATGTTACCCTAATTCAGGGAATTCTGGGATGTAGTTATTAATGCCATATCTACTTCTCCCCAATTCTTGTGGCTGAAACTCTACACTTCAGTTCTTTTCTGTTAGGTCTCAACTACAGTGAAGCTCCAAAAGCATTTGCACATCAAGGGTAATCCCACAGGCATCCAGAGAACCCTTAATTGGTCTATGGCAGAATTCATGTTTATACCAGACTGGTAATTATAATTTTGTTTGTCACATGAATCATTACTTGGCTTTTAATAAATTTAAAACCTGTTCTCCTGGTAACTCATAAAAAGCCTAGTCCAATGATTTCAGATAAGAATTCCAAGCAGAAACAATCCTTTGGATTGTGGGCAATCCTTTGAAATTTTTGTCTCCTAATGTGATGATCTCACTAAAATCATTGCTATAAAAGGTCCTGAGATAAAAAATATGAATAATTTTTCTTAATATAAGTTCTTAAATCATTAGAAATAAGAATATAGGTAAGCAATAAGTATTTAAATACACAGCATGTTTTCTTAACAGAAATTAATTATATCAAAACATGCCAATGTTTTGTCTATTTGGACTGGGTAGTGACTTACATAGTTCTTAACTATTCTTATCTTCAGATTCTCTTATGATAAATTAACTAGGTGCTCTCTAAGGAACATTGTTGTCTTTTCATACACAAAATTTCAACTCGGAGGCCAAAGACAAATTCAGGTAAACCTCAAAAATAATGTTTCTTGGAGCTAATTTTCCTCATTTGTCCTCCTGCCAGTTATTCTGGATTCAAGATCAAGATGTGAAGTCATGCTAAACAGAAAGTTAGCATTTTGCCATTTATTAAGATTAAAAATAATTATCAGTCAGCATCCTCTTCCTTATAACAAGATCTATCAAACATATTACAATTATTTACTCATTTAAATAGCATCTGAGCATGCCAATTTACAGACAGTATTACTGTTAGCCAATTTGAATTTAATAATGAGCCATATGTACTTAATATCACATTCAACATTACAACTCTACTACAAAAGACTAAGTTCACAAATGAAAAGTTGTTTATTTTACTATGTGCAAAAGGACTTGAGTTATAGTTCTTGAACATTAGTATTCTTCTAAAAAAGAAATTTAAGATCATTTATGTCCATTGCCCATTTGTAAACATCAATTAATTTGCTAGTATTTTTTCTTAATACTATTATATCACTACTTTATTTCCAGGCTACCAGCAAATGCTTAGATAGTAATTATTGATATTAGGAATGATCTTATGTATCTCTAGTAATTATCTACCTACACTGGTTTAATTTTGAACGCAGATTTTATACATCAGAAAAATAGACAAAAAATTAAAGAATAAAATTACAGATCTTTTTAAGCAAGAATTTACATTAAGCTCATTTCAGGTTCCAAATAAATTAAATCTCATTAATGATATTTAAGAATAGCAATATTAATATAGCTAGCTTGAAATATAAAGTATTTCAGAGTGATTCACTTAAATTGATATGACTATTCATTCATACTCCTCTAGACAGAAGACAATTACCAAAACTGTGCCAGTGAATTTGTGTACTCAGACCAAGAAATGATTTCCATAGTTCTTAACCAACCTGTCAGATATTTAGGATGAAAATCATATTATACTGCCATAGAACCACTGACTAGAAAGAAAGAAATCATTTGCTCTTGATTAACATGCCAGTTTATAACCAACTTTAATTATTTACACATTCCTCTCTTGGTAAGTGCTCTAGTTGACACTTCATCCAACTTTTAAAGATATTTCAAAGAGGATTTCGAGATTTCTATTTTGCTAGAGAGACATTCTTGGGTCTAATTCAATATTTATCAGCTCTCTTTTGTGGAGAGGATTTGCTGGGCACTTTTATTTGCAATTTATAAGTATCTAGTGTTTCTGTAGACTATTTTACGTACCTAAAATTTTTAATGGATTGTTCCTACCATTTGAAATGTGATAGTTTTTGCCTAATCTATTTGTAAGGTGTTGTTTCCAATGTTACTTATTGTGGAGCTTGCTCTACAGCCTTGATATATATATATATCAGGTTTGTAAAACATTTGAGTGAATTGTTCTTTGAAATTTTATTTTTTTAAATTTTCTTATGAATACGATATTATAGAACTGAGACACATATTTGATTATCTAATTTTTCTTTTGTTGTATTTGATTATGTTACTCCAGTTAAAATAAAAGCACTTTGGTGAAAAAATAATTTCTTGTATTTTTTTGATTATGAAAAAAATATATCAATTTTATAATGATATGTGTAGCTAAGTTGGAATCTTTCCCCATAAGCACAAACATGCTAGAAGCATAGAACTAGATGCTGCGAGGCATTCTAAAAAATTATATGATGATTAATTTGAACAAATAACTCAAAATAGGATGTTAAAAATGTATAAGAAGTACATGAGAGGGAAAAAAAAGATATCAAAGATCCTATTAGGGCTTGCACCCCTTTGACTTGAGTTCCATAAACTGAATATATATTGACTATTTTGGACTATTTATTCCATGCCTGGGACAAATCAGTCACTCACACTCTAACATAAGGAGTCTACCAAGTCCATTCAATAGTTTAAGTAGATGTTTGTTAAACAACAAACCAAAATGATTATGCAAATAGTAACAAAGGAGTGATCAGGAAATATTGTTAAGGACATAATGGTTTTTCAAGAGAGAGAAGGCTAATACAATAACACTGGAGGGTTTTAACACCCTCACTGTCCTCAATGGATAGGTTATCCACATAGAAAATCAAAACATCAGAATTGGCCATACTATAGATCAAATGGAACTAATAGGCAATTATAGAACACTTCACCCACCTCTGCAGAATACACATTCTTCTCATCAACATATGGATCAATCTCCAGGATAGACTACATGTTAGGCCATGAATCAAGTCTCAACACATTTATAAAAACTAAAATCATAGATGTATCTTCCAGACCATAACAGAATAAAACCGCAAGTCAACAAGAAGCATGGAAAGTATTTAAATACATGGCATATGAATAACATGATCATAAAGGACCAATGGGAAGTGGAAGAAATTTAAAGGAAATTAAAGTATGCCTAGAAACTAATGAAATGACAACACAACATACTCAGAGGGAAGTTTGTAGCACTAAATGCATATATTAAAAATAAAAACCTCAAATGAACAACTTAATAATGCACTTCAAAAATTTGGAAAAACAATAGTAAGCCAAGCCCAAAGTTAGTAGAAGAAAGAAATAAATCATCACTCTTATTTATTATAGTGATGGAAGTTTTAGCAAGAATAATTAGGCAATAAAAATAAATAAAAGGCTTCCAAATTGGTTAGGGAGAAGTTAAATTACCCATGTTTGCAGATGATATGATTTGTTACATAGAAAAATCTAAATATTAGTAAAAAATTAGAACTTATAAACAAATTCAGTTAAGTTTCAGGATACAAAAACAACATATAAAACCACTATCATTTTTATACAACAATAATAAACTTAATGGAAAAATTAAGGAATCCCAATCATAAAACCTACCAAAAATATAAAATATTTGGAAATAAAATGAACCAAGGAAGTTAAAGATATCTATAATAAAAAGCATAAAACTTGATAAAAGAAATTTTAGAGGACACAAGACAGGAAAGATATTCCATGTCCATAGATCCAAAGTCAAAATAGTTAGAATTACCATACTTCCCAAAGCAATCCATAGATTCAATGCAGTTCCCATCAAAATATCAATGAATTTTGTCACAGAAATAGGAAAAAACACTTAAAATGCATATGGAACTACAAAAGACCCAGAATAACTAAAAGAATCTTAAGGGGGAAAAATGCTGGAGGTATCCCAATACTTGACTTCAAAATATACTAAAAAGCTAAGTAAATAAGACATACCAATGGAACAGACTAGATAACTCCGAAATTAATTCACATTCATACAGCCAACTGGTTTTTAACAAAGTAGCCAAGAATATACAGTGGAGAGGACAGTCTCTTCAGTAAATGATGCTGGAAAAAATAGATATGTGTGTGCAAAAGAATAAAAATTGATTCCTTCCTCTCACCATATATGTAAAAGTCAATTTGAAATGGAGCAAAGACCTACATGTTAAGCCTGGAACTACAAAATTACCACAAGAAAACACAAGGAAAGCACTTCAAGACATTAAGTGTAGGTGACTTTTTAGATAGGACTCCAAAGGCACAGGCAAAAAAAAAAAAAAAGTAAAAATAGACAAATGGGATTATAGAAATTAAAAAACTTCTGCACTGCAAATGTAAAAATCAGTAGAATTGAAACAGTGTATCAAATTGGGAAAAATATTTGCAAACTGTTCAGCTAACAAGTGGTGATATATCCACAATATATAATGCACTCAAAAAGATGAACATCAAACAATCCAATTTAAAAATGGGCTAGGAGCTGGGGGGGTGTGGCTCAGTGGTAGAGCACTTGCTCAGCATCCTTAAAGTCCTAGGTTTGAGACCTAGCACGACAAAAAGGGGGGAGGGGAGTATTAATAACTAAATATATACCTCTCAAAAGAAGAAAAACAAATAGAAGTACATGAGAAAATGCTCAATTTCACTAACCATCATAAAAATGCAGGTCAAGCCAGGCACGATGGCACACGCCTGCAATCCCAGTGGCCTGGGAGGCAAAGACAGGAGAATTCTGAGTTCAAAGCCAGCTTCAGCTATTTAGTGAGGAGCTAAGCAACAAAGTGAGATTCTGTCTCTAATAAAATACAAAATAGGGCTGGGGATGTGGCTCCGTAGTTGAGTGACTCTTACTTCAATTAGAAGGCCTTTTGATGAAAAAGTCAAAATATAATAAATAATGACAAGGTTGAGGAGAAAACGGAATTCTTAAACACTGTTGGTAGGAAATGTAAATTTATACAACCATTATGGAAAACAGTATATATATAATGATATATATAATGCACTCAAAAAGATGAACACCAAAGCAACAAACAATCCAATTTAAA